TTATTTGTTGTGTAAATTATTATTTTTTTGTTATGTAGTTATGGATCGTAAATGGATATATGCACCTCGAACAAGTTTTGAATATGAGAATGGGCTGAACGAGTTCTTGGAGTTTTCTGTGGCTTGATGATTTAGATTTTCTGTGTATTTGGCGTGATGATAAAGATGATTGACCGATGCTTGTTATTTAGCCTTGAATTATTGCTCTAAGATTGATCATTGTCTCCTAAGGACTAGGATTAAATTTGCAAATGTAGCCACCAGGCTTCCCAAGATATTCTGTCTATACTAAGAAGAATCCAGTTGATAAAAAAATGATTTATACTTGTATAACTACTATATGGATATTAATTATATTTGTTAATCGAAATAAAATTTTCTTGCATTGTTAAAATTTGTGTCTCGTCTTTCTCTAATGAATTTTATTCTATGGTTACCTATGTTGATGTCACTTATTAGCGTAGTATATTTTAAATGCTTATTTTGTATCTCTATTACATTTCTGTAGATACATTGAGTTCTATGATGCAATGTCAGTTCCTATGGCGATTGGTCTCTGGTCAGCCGCTTTTGGGTAGGGCTGTAAGCGAATACTAAGATATTCGATTCGAATTCGTTAAAATATTCGAGTATTCGAATTCGTATTCGATTTGTTAACTAACTCATTTTTCGATTCGTATTCGATTCGTTTAGAATATTCAAACATATTCGATTCGATTCGAAATTCGTTTTCAGAAAAATATTATAATCACAAAAATAATTTTTATGCGACGATAAAATTTCGTCATCAATTTACTTTTGTGACGAAAAATAAGGTTTACATGACGAATTTTATCCTCATGATTTCTGAAATTTCTTGTAGTGACAGTGACACTTCAAAGGTTGAGAAGCAGCAGCATCGCACAGAGTTAGATCAATGGAGTTCGACGAGGACGCTCCACTCGCTCAATCATTCAAGCGAAAGAGAAAACCTATCCAGAAGAAAAAACAACCTGAGGCCCGGCCCGAAGAACCCCCTGCAGCGGCCCGCGATCATGACCCTGCTCGATTGCCTTCCACAGTTGAACCTCTACTGGAAAGTGTATTCGACTACTCGGTCGAGAATCACTTCAAAGCCGTGGATAAGATAGCCAAACTCTGTGGATATTCTGAAACACTCGATGCTAATCAACCAGAAATTGAACGGTTCTCCAATTCTATAACGTTCCTAAGGTAGCTGAGTAGCTTTGTGTCTAATCCTTGTCCTTTTCTTGGGGGGGAGGGGAAAGGGATTGCTGAATTGATTTGTTTATGTTCGAGTATGAATTGCAGAGAGTGGAGAGATTTTAAATATGCTCCACGAACTGTGAGGTTTGCTAATCAGCACAATTCAAAGGAGAAAGAAGTAATTGGTGAAGTTACCTTGCAACAATTTTGTGCTACATCTGTTCCCAAGGTATTTTGGACTTCAACTTCCAAAAGAATTCTGATTGTTTTGAAGTTCTGTGGGGTGCACTATTTGAGTTTAATTTATGATTTATTGCAGAATGAACCTGGAAAGAGGAACGAAGCCAGTACTGCACCTAGGTAGGTAGCCTATTAAGGATATTCTTCAGAAAAAATCGTTTAGTTATATTGATTTATTATTTTCTTTCAGCAATGACTTTGTAATGAATGTTGGGGGTTCAGTCTGGGCACTAGACTGGTGTCCTAGAGTTGATTCTAATTTCGAGAATCGGATCACGTCTGAGGTAATTCACTTTGTATATCTTTTACCTTTTATTACTTTCATTTTGCCCTGGCTGCCTCAATTATAATGCAAACTGTCTCTGTGATAGTGAACCGTGACATGAGAACTGATGTGGAGTCAATCAAAATATGTTGATGATGGAAACTTTTGTACAAAATTAGGCTATGCCTAATGTAAAATAACAGTAAATTGGCTTTAATTTTTGACTTACGCTGGTTATACATAAAACGTAATGAAATGAGGTTCTGTGATTTGTGTCCATAGATGAAAACTGAAATACTTTATACGCTCCTGTGGATATTATATCTTTTGTTTGAGAATTCCTGGCTATCATAATTTATATCAAGGGCACTTACTGGAATTGTGAGTCATGTAGTGGAATGATTTTCGCCATATGTTTTTGTTTTCCTTTATTTTTTATTTTTTTATTTTTACAATTTTTAGCTGGAAATGTTTGCAACATTTGAAGTTCAAATGGCCGGCAAATAACAAAAAATTAAATAAAAAAAGAAAAAGAGAAATGGTATTACAGAAGTAATTCTTTGTTAAATAAGTGTTTTTATCTGGTAAGAGCTGCAGAACTACGTCACATCTACAGTCACTTGCTTCTTCATGAAAGAACCAACTTCTTGTATGCATGTTGTGGTTGGCCTTAATTTGATTCCTTTAGTTTTCAGACAATGGTCGCTTTCCTGCATTTATTCTTTTGTCATTCCGGCCATAAAGTTGGATAAGTTTTTAGGAAGGCTTTACATATCTCTAAAACAATATAAATGCGCTCTATATCCAGTTGTCCTCTTTGTGCAAGTATTTCGTGACGAGTTTTCTTCTGAGAACCACTTATATTCCATCAACCAAGTTTTCTAGTCCATTCGGAAAATGTACTTATTTTTTGTTGTATATCTACAACTTATTATTTGTATACACAATTTACTTGTATTTTACTTTTGAAAATTATCTTTGCAGTTTGTCGCTGTTGCTGCTCATCCGCCTGAATCTTCATATCACAAGATTGGTGCTCCTCTTGCAGGCAGAGGTGCCATCCAGATATGGTGTTTGTTAACTGCCCCTGTAAGAGATGATTTAACTAATCAAGCTAAGAAGTTGAGACGAAAACCCCAGAAAAAGTTAATAGTTAAATCTGATGATCCAAATGAACCACCGAAACCAAGAGGACGACCAAGAAAGACACCTCTTAATGATTCTGTACAACCGAGGCTAAGAGGTAGACCGAGAAAGAACCCTCTTGACGACTCTGGACCTTCAAGGCCAAGAGGGAGACCTAAAAAGAAAGTTCTTGATGTGTCTATGGGGAAAACAAATATCAATGACCAATACGTTCAACCTCTTGCTATTGAATACCCCACGAGCTCAGATGGGTCACATTTGCCAGATAAGGCAATAAAGAAGGACGAGGTTCGTAACAATGGTCTGCATATTCTCAGCCAATGTGAACATGAAGAAACTACCCTTGTTGATCCGCTAGCATCTGCAAGCTTCAGTCTGGATTCCCCAATTTGTACAAGTGCTTTTGATGCCAATACTTCTACCAGCATCATTCCCTTTGATGTGGCATTACCTAGACTGATGTTATGTTTAGCCCACAATGGGAAGATTGCATGGGCTGTAAAGTGGCGGCCAGTCAGTACTCATCACCTTGAATCCATGCATGTAATGGGTTATCTAGCTGTGTTGCTTGGAAACGGTGCACTAGAAGTGTAAGACTCCTTATGTTTTTTTTTTCTTTTCTTTTGTCTTTTTCTGTTCATTTCATAATATTATAACAATTGTGCCAATTTGCTTTGATGTCATGCTTTTGGCAAGAGTAATCACTTGAATCAGTATATGGCACATTCTATTTTCTGATAATTGAATAAATGTCATTTGCCTTTCCAAGCTGTGAAGTCGTGAAATGTGCTGTTACACACACACAGAAATACATAACTGAAACAGGGTTGTGTGTATGTGATTGTGTGATTGCGTTTATATATGTGTAAATACTATGTAGGAAATGTATCTACATGGATGAACTGATATTATGCCGAAATGTTTGCATCAATTTTTATATATGCGGTATTTGAAGTAAGAAATGTCTTCATGATGATGTCTAAAATGGATCTTTCTGCCCATCCTTGTCTGGTATCAGTTGCATGGATCTTCTTTTGCCATACACTATCAAGATATAAACATTTAAACTTTTATGTTTAATGTTCAAATTTCAATTACTTTCCAAAAATTTTGTCACAATGGAGTATAAATTTTGCATTCAGTTA